AAACACACAAGATGACTGTGCTACATATTCTTGTCTTTTCAATTATTACAGAACTCTATTGCTTTTTAGTTTAAGAGCAACAAGGCAGGAGCAGTGTCACATCATCAAGACTGACCCCCTCATACTCGGGAATAGGATGGGATAGGATAGTATCTAGGATTCTACTCTTCTCTAATTAATTGTCTTTTCTAAAATGGCTTCAAAAAATCCTTAAGCAATATTTTTCCATTCCTTCTGAATAGCTTACTGGCCTCTTGGACACTAAATGTTCCCAATATATAACGCAATGCAAAAGAATACATGAAAGACAGTGCAAGATTCCACAAAAAAAAACAGACAAACAAAATTTATATTTGAAAAAGGATTACCTCAATGATCCCTAAAATGGCAGAGGACAACTGTCCAACCATTCAGAAGAGATAACCAGGAAAGAGAGTGCCATAGCTTACTACAATTAAAGTTTGTTTTATGGTTCTTGAGTTCCTGAATTCAGAGTTTTGAGAGTCTATTTGTTCTTTTTACCAATTGCTTAATTTTATCCTTATCCTGAGTTTTCCTATTTTATATTTTTTCTCGTTTGAAAGTCCTTATTTATATAAACCATGCAGATTTATTTAGACATCTACACAGAAGTTTTGATTAAAATTATGTTTTATGTCTGTCTTTAAAAAAATAAAGCAACTGGATTCAGTTCACAAGGAAACAATGATTTATGATGAAGAACAAAACTTACATAAATGATTCCCTATATTTCAACCTTAAAGACATATACAAATTAGATTGTATATAGACTAGAATATAACTAAACCATTACACCCATAATCAAAGGAACTATGCATATGTATAAGAAAACACATTTGATTGTTCCTAAGAGTATATCTTTCATCCTGTATTTTAGCTTCTCTTATACGAGAAAACTGAAATGTGAATWATAAAAACATTGTGAACAAACAAAACAATTTATATCAAAGATATAAACATTTAGCACACAAGTAACTATATATATATAATATTACAGAGGTATTGGTCAAATGAATGTGATCAGAAAATGTTCATATTTACATGACACCTAAAAATATGGTACAAAAGATGAACARAAAACATCAAGTGAGGACAACCTTTCCATTTTCATAAAATCATAGGCTGTTAACCTCTTTTAACCTTGAAAAATGTTGATGCTTAATAATTCAGTTGACAATAATAGAAACTTACAAAGCATGCAGGTTATGCCATAAAAATAGTACAGAAAATACCAAGATGTAACAAGGAGAGAAGARCATGGCGGTGTTGCCCTCAATCATGCTGTGATGTGAGTCATGGGACTCAGCTTACAGAGCGGCTGGGCATGTTCCCACTACATTGCAACATATGGGGAAAATTATATTGTAGCTGAATAGCATGCAGGCCAATCAATCTCAGAAGTGACCATGTATGTATGATTTTTTTAGGTAACCTGTGCAAACATGCTGACACGTTGTTCTGCCTGGTTAAAAAGCACCAGATCTGCATTCTTGACTGATCCAGCTTGATTTTACTCCTGTGAGAAGAATGGCACGCAAGGAAGTTAAAACGTGGTACCCTTTCAGTTGTTYGAGTTCTGGAAACAGAAGTGTGGATTCCTACTTATGAAAAAATGTGTTTTCTAGACATGTCACACATTTGCAAAACAACATTTTCAGCTGTGTACTAGAGATTTAAGCATATCCAAATATATAATAGAAGAGATAAGATTAGCAGAATATCTGAAGTTCATTAGATTTATACTGGACTTGGGCCTGAAAACAGACAACACCCCACAAACAAAAAAAAAACACCACCACCAAAAATTCCTCCACCCTCAAATCCTCCTCCAAATAAAACCAAAAAAAACTGGCCCAAACAAAAAAAGACACAGAGATACACCCACACTATGTATATTATAGATTTAAGTATACTTTAAATTGTATTAATCAGGCCTTTAAAATACAGAGATATCTTTCTCCTTTCATTTTCAAGACTATTTCTAGTCTTCACTGATGCTAAATAGGATACATCTAAGTTCTTTCTTTCAGAAAGACAGTGCAGGCATAACAAAAAGTAAATCATACCATGACAAACACCAAAACTTCTACATAAGCAATTTTTCCCAGCATCATTAAATATTTAACTGGATGRTAAGAAAAAAAGTTTCAAAGAGTTTAAGGTGTATTATGGATTGTAGCAGACATACAGCAAWGAAAAAAAAAAAAAACACGCTTAGCAATAAACCTGTAATTTCCTCAATTTGTCTTCTGGTATAAATCTAATCTCATTTCTTACCAAGGACTTTTCAAAGACTCATCAAATAATGTAGCTATGTAACAACTCCAATATAAACTGCTCCCATTTGAAGGGGAAGACTGAAAGAAAGAGCTGAACAAACTTACAAAAGGAAAGAYAATTTCCCTACTGACTATGAACTAGTGTATAAGAAATAGAGGCCAATTCTCAGCCACTTTTCCAAATCTGAGTATGTCAAAATTGATACTAGGCAATAGTACCTTTTAAACAGCTAGTGYTTATGTATCATGTTGAATATTAAAGTGAGAAGGCATAGATTTTGTCACACAATTCTAAAATATAAAATAGTAARGAACCAGGTGTCTTCAACTGAAGGATAATCTAACAAGTGTTAGATTTAAAGTTAGATTACCTGGATTCATCAAATATTTCTTCTACAAAACCAAGTTTTATTAAAACACAAGAAATCCAGTATCTTTTAGCCAGCTTAATAATACGTAAAAGTTGTGGCAGCTGTAGCTGTAGTTAACAAACATCRTTTCATTACATAGTGCAGTTAATATTTTAAACAGGTTAAGAATACAGTTTGCTTTGGTTTAAAGAAACCTCTTAGTAATCGAAGGTCTTCTCAACTGAGTGGTCAATGTAATATCTGGAGTAAGAGAATCTCCAAAAAGCAGATGGAACAAATCAAGTGTCAGGAAATGAGCTACTGAAATAAGAAAATAGAGTGCAATACTACTGAACGCTGTACTCTGTGTAACAAAAGAAACACTTAAGAGTACTGTATGACACCTTTCTAAATTTAACTTCACTATGCTTTGCTAGTACAAACTTCTTTTCTAAAATTTGGAAGTAATACTGGCAAATTAAYTGCCAGTTCAAACCAAAAAAACTAAAAACCTACAAAGCCCACAATTAATCAAAACTCTCCCAAATTCATCAACTAAATGCCCAAAAATCAAACCACATACACACACRCACAAAAAAACCCCACCCAAAAAACCCAARACACTCTAGACAAAGCAATCCAGACTGGGGTACAGCTGTCTGCACAAGCGACGATATTCTATTTACGTCATCATGTCTTCAGATGCCAAACGTGGTGATACCAGACACAGTCTGCTCGAGCCACAGATTGCAAACTCAATTTTTAGTGTCTTTCAAAATCCTGCTGAAATCCATGATTTTGCTTTTCCCCTCAGTCTGCAGGTGCTGACAAATGATTACTTTTCTAGAGCTGACCCAGTTTAAAATCAGGCAGYTGTCTTTGAAGTGAGTGGTTCAAAATTCCCGCAAACAAGGAACAAATTAATATTTTTTCATTTAGTAATTCAATTTTTTTTTGAGTTTTTAGTTGATGCATTCACCTTATAACACAAACATTGCTGCCTTGGCTTTCCCCCATCATTGTGACTTCAGAACTGGAAAACTGYTGTCACTGCTCTCATTAGCCTCAGTCAGCACCTCTGTTAAGTTTATCCAGTAAAAGTAATGCTGATTTACCTCAAAGAGTATTCATTTTCTTTATTAGTATCTCCTCTAATATTTTAAATAGTAGTTTACTTACGTTCTTATTTCACAGAAATATTACAACAATTATAAAAGCCCCCAGTCTTTTGACATTGTTTATTCTATACATATACACTAGTTTCTCTATTTAACTAACAATTTGGTAAAGTTTGTTTTTCAAAAATGTCTATAAATGGGTTCACATAAACTTATACAGTTCTGCCAGAATTTCCCACTCTCTTGAGCTCCACTTTCCCACTTCAGGTTATTCACTCTCAGTGTAGTCCAAGGGTCCTGAGTTAAAATTGTTTTGCATTTCTAAGCAGGAAGAACTACAGTATGAAACAATACAGTTGATATAATTCGTTCATCCAAAATATAAAATATTTAAATTTTACCTCCTTGCTTTCCTCCAAATCTGAGTCACTGCTAAACTCTTCTGTATTCAGATGTTCAAAATCAGATTCTCCAACAGCTATTGGTACTGTAACAGTAAGGCTTGGGTTGTTTATRAATGACGGATAATCATTGYCACCTATAACAGTGGCCATTCCATTCTCATTTTTGTGATAGTTTGTATCTATTGTGAGTTCAGTGACAGCACAGTTGGAAACACGGTGGTGTCTCTCACAATTCAACTGATCGGTTGCAGTTCTTTGATTTCCAGCAGCTTTTTTTCCCAAACAAGACTTTTGRACACATTCACCTGCTTTTTTCTTCACATAATCTATTCCCTTCTGAATTCTTGCAACAGCCATCTGGAGGTTGTTCATTTCATTATCATCCTCTGTAGCAGCAAGGTTGTCTGAACTAAATGAACTCAGCAGCAAGGCCAGAAAAAGATTCAATACCTAATTAAAAAAAAAAAAAAAAAAAAAAAAAAAAAAAAAAGAGGAGACAAGGGATCTATAACTAAAAAATAATTTAAAAGGGCTTTTTTTTTGTTCAAAAGAATTAAATCAGGGAATGAAATTTGAAAGGCTGGAAAGGGGCAAAACCCCTGAAATAGGATGAGGCGGGATCCAGAAATGTCTCCAGAACGCCAAAATTATTCAAAAAAGCCTTCACTGAGCTTAAAGAAAAACAAAACAGAGGAGCACAAAATCCCCAAAATGTGACCTTAAGTTTCCCTTTCTAAAGAATCCTGGGAGAGGTCAGAGAGATTGGATGGGCGGAGAGTTGTCCAATTTTGTGTTTCTGTAGTTTTTGTTTTGATAGAAGAAGGAGCAGGACAAGGCAAAGCTGGCGTTTGAGGTGTTTGAGCTCATTTTCAGGCTGCAATTGTTCACTTCATTGAAATCCAGGTGAGAGAATTTTTATTCTGGTGGGATTTTGCTCCTTAGAATCCTCTCTCTTTAAAATCCTTATTTTTCATGGATTTAAGGAAGATTAGTCCCTTTCAATAACTTAAAAATGCATGCAAAGTGAAAGTAATCCTACTTTTATGCAGAAAAAAAAGGCAAGAAATCCTGAATTTGGGCACCGAAGGGGAAAAAATTCCTCAATTCATGCACACAAATGGCAAAATTTGAGATTCAATTAAATAAAAATTAAATTAAAATTCAAATAAGCAGAAGAGAAATAAAATTAATCTTTAAAGTTGATTGAATAATAATTCAATTTATTTAGAATTAAAAACTAAAATTAAATTAATGTTCATTTAAATTAGACAGTCATATTAAATTAAGAATGGAAAAATTAAACTAAATTTTAAAATCTCCCAACTTATATTATAACAATACTATAAAATGTACTGAAATTAGTTGAATTTAAAAGCCAACTTTTCAAATACTTAAATTCTTTAAAAGATGGTTAAAATACCACATATACACATAGCCCCACACAGAAAATTTCTGGGGAAAGTGTGTGTTTGATGTTTTAATATGAATTTTTTTATTTTTTGCCTCTGGAGCTTCTTTCTGCTGCATCATCAGTTTTGGGGAGGGCTTTTGTTTGCTTGTTTGTTTGGGATTTTTTTTTAGTTTTTTAGTTAGGGTTTATGGTTTTTTTTTAAATAACCTGTTTTTTTAAATTATTTTAGGGTCAAGGATGTCACCTTTTGGTGTTGTCTCCCTTCTGATTTTAGGTAAAGCTTTGTTTCTGAGAAAGTGGTGTAACTTTCAACTCTAGTGGAAAAATTATGGATTAACTCATTTTGCCCCTTTTTCTTTTCCAGGATCCTTGGTGGACACCAAAACCCCATCCGAAAAAGGTGAATTTTGGGGGTTTTGCCCTACAAAAACATTTTCAACTAAACCTTTCTCCCACCCACATCATACCATTTTCCCACTATTTCTCCCCAAATCCATGTGTAACCCATGTAATTCCACTGGGGT